CAACAGTAGTAAGTGATCCAATGGTGGTATCCCCAGAAACAGCACAGGCAGCCCCAAACTCATCATCAAATTGAAGTGAGTTTGCAAAATGTGATTGCTGTGGCTGACTGAAGAAGTATACACGGAATACATCAAAACGTACGCCAGAGGTATCAGGGGAAATGGATTTGTGGGCTGTGTGCAGAGGTTATAAAAGATGAATTTTAAGAACAGAAAGAATATAGCACTGAAGAAGCTGACTAAGCCTATGGATTATTGCAAAACAATTTGATCTCTAGACCGCCTCCGGATCCTGCAATTCATCTGATTTCTGCCATGAGACAGATTCTTAGAGAAATCTTGGATTCCCCTGAGGATTAAGATCAACTCCCTCTAGTCCTACTAACAAAGTTGAAATTCGCAGTCCAGGACTCACAGGTCTGGAAGTTGTTTCCAACTTTGGCGGTTGATGAAGGTTTAGATTATGGAAATGAAAAATAAATTGGAGGTGAACAGGGGAAGATCACAATTCAATTGATGCAAAATAAAAGAAAAACCAATAGGGTTAAGCTTAGATATATATGTTCAATGTAGGTATCATCTTAAATGGAAAACTTTTTTTTTGTGGTGCAACATCAATATATTCTGCCTCAATTTGCTATTAATCTTTCATATTTTATGTGAAGCTTGGTTTTGAATGATGGATTCCAGGACTGCCATCAGGCATAAACAAAGGTGTTTTAAAGTCTTGCCTACCAGATAAGGACTATGCTAACGAATATTTAAGATTTGAACTAAATTCTGATGCTGTGGTGTGTGATTCTGTGGGCTGCTGAGTTGCCACTGCTGGCGTTTTCTTATGAGATTCTCCATAAAAGAGGTAGATTGGAGGGGCACAAAACAGATATAGACTATTCTTGAGCCAAATGTGACAATCATTGAGTTGGCCAGCCAGCTGGGTATATAATAATATCCTGGCTTTAATGACATGAATTTGTTAGTCTTCTATAAGTTTCCCAGATCCTTGCAGTAATCTTTCTAAAGTAATATACCAACTCAGATTTTGGTGGATTACGGTTTGAAAGTCATTTTCAGATCACGAGGTCGGATGAAGAGGTTCATGATGGTTATTTTTTTTCACCAGTAAATTCATTCAAAGGATGATCTTGTTTTTGTCAAGTGATGAACTTTCTTTTCTTTAATGGAATTGTTGAAGGCCATAAAATGTTCGAGAAAATTCAAACCTCACAATGGCTAGCCAATTATCCCAAAGTCATCCATATCACAACTTGAGATAATGTGAATGCTAAAATTCAATGGAGTGTGTAAAAGTAATTAATTGTCTTCATTTGAAGCAGAAATGACCCAGAAAAGCATATGAGTTATGACCAAAAAAAAAAAAAAAAAAAAAAGGTTGAAAAAAGTTGGTTTAAAGTGTCATTGCCTTAGATGTAGGGGAAAACAAGAAACAAGAAGTGTACTTTCATGAACCTCAGGATGAAAATGTTGATTTAAAAGAAAGAAATTGGTGGGTTGTGCTTTATCTCATAAACTTTACAAGGTTTATAACAATAACACCCTCTGGTTATAATAATAACCGAAATCCCCTGCTGTTAAGTTTTTGATGTTAAAATAAACGGTAGAGATGGAATATCAATTGGGATTGCAGCTAGTGTTTAACTGTTTATATTCATCTTTCTCGCAATTAAGCCTTGACAGAAGTGAGTGCAAAGAGAAAGAGGCAGAGTAGGAATTCATAATAGACTATTTCAAAGAACTACATAATCGCAGCTATGGAATCAGCATAGTAGCGGATAGGGGTGTTTAAAAGAATCGATTGGAATCGGACCTGGAAGGTACTCATGGTTTGGTTCTGGTTCCTACCCAGAACCGGCCGTCAACGGGTAGGTTCTGGTTCCAAATTTTTGAAACCGTTACTGTACGGTTCCAGTTTCGGTTCTTATAATTAGGAACTGAAACCAGAACCGGGAACCGAGACTAATATAAAATAAAATTAAAGAGTAGAGGGTTAATAAAAACTTTTGTAAAAAAAGTAACGTGAATACATTTATATTTATATTTCATAACATTTAAAGTAAATTGGTTTGACTTTTGAGAATCTATCTTTACAAAGTAATGGAGTTGTAATTTTGAATTTATAATTTGTAATTTTATTTTTTTTAACAAGTTCCAGGTGGGGGGGTATTTGTAAGTTTTTAAGGTTTTTTGACATTTTAAAAACTTTTAGGGGGTTAGGAATTTTATAGGGTACCCAGAATCGAAACCGAAACTGTTGTTACAGGTTCCGGTTCTGAGTACCTAGGTTCTGGTTCCGGTTCCAAATTTCAAGGAACCGTCGGTTTCGGTTCCTTCAAAAAATATAGGGTACCCGAAACCGAACAACCCTAGTAGCAGATCCAAAAGATTTTATTAGATTGGGCTAAAATAAAAACTAATTACACATTGATATTTTTGTCCATTAATATTTTTGTTAGGGTAGGCCAAAATCCAGAAATTAGTATTTTTTAAAATAAAATTGAGGGTGGGCCATGGATCCGCCCCTACTGAGTCCGATCTTGTTGATGCGCGACGGCTGGAAGTGAAAGGAACTGATTAACACTGCACTAACGTCTTATTAACGATAGGAGGATTTATATTATTTTCGAAACCTCGGATAAAATTTTGTTATTTGATTAAAACTTGTGGGTTGAGATAGTGCAAGTCATTTTCACAATTGATGTCAATAATAATGATAATTGGAAATTCCACTCTCTTCTTGCTTTGAACATGGCAAAGCTTGGTCCATGTGTATTCACTAAACAACAATATTTTGACTATGACTAGTTGGTGTATGATTAACTTAAAGGATCATTAGGAATCCCCCAACCAGGCATACCCTTTTTTTTTCTACTTTAATTTTAAAATAATTTATCAAGTGGGGGCAAGTGGGGGCAAGAGGGGTTTGCTTAAATTCCAAAATACTATCCAACCCATTAATCATCAGCATGATAATATTGCTATAGTCCTTTTCGCCCACGTGATCAATAATTTGTCCAATAGTTTAGACAATCAATCACAATTTACTATGTATGTGAAGATTGTGATTGACCAAAATACATATTTTGATGAGAGTTTTTAAAAGATATCAACATGGACATGGTAACCAATGAATTTGATCTATATTTCGATGTTATTATGAAGAAGAATTGTTTGATCAACTCATCCGTGGGCAGCGTAAATGATTAGGACGAATTGTGGATAATGTGAATAAACGCAAAATCTGGAGTTCGATTCCCAATCTGAGCATTTGTTATTCAATTGAGAGGTCGTTGCATACACCTTCGTTACAAGGTGGGTTACTAAGCTAAAGCTAGCCTGTATACCTTGGTTACAAAAAAGAAAAAAAAAAAATTATAAAATTTGTTGTGGCGATGGGTTGTTGCACTAATTTCCTTTGAGGATTTGTCATGGTGCTCGTAAATTGATCTAAGCAGGTTCGAACACCTTGGTAAAAAAGAAAAAAAAGAATTGTAAAATTTTGTTTATATTTGTTTACGTTTGACACAAATTTGTTTGATAGTTTTGATGTACGTATAAATTACAAGGACTAAAATGATATACCGTGATTGAACGGATACATATTTATTTTATTTCCATGAATGTGAAACCACTATGATGGCTGAATTAATTAGGTAACCATGAGCTTGACTTCAAACAAATTCAGGTTCTTGTCATGTTTCATTAAATATTGTTATGACTAAGAAATCAAAGGCTGACGTGGAGTTGCGTGACGAAACGTGGCCTGCTCCCGTCAGAACGGTAAGCGCACGTCAGGCCTGCCAAACGCCCTAGTGCTCCCACGTGTCCGCTAGCCTGCTCCAAATCGCGTGAAATCGGCTTGGAAAATGGGTAATGGGACGTAAAATCAGATTAGGTCCTGACAATCACACCAACCCAAGGATTTAGTGATGATTACGGACATACAACTGGGTATAAGAAGAGGAAGACCCCTTCATTAAAGGGATTCGACAATTTTACACAAAAACTCTCTTTCATGCTTTTGTATCTATTTCCCAACCTTTTGTAAGTCAGTCCGCTGGCGCGACCTGACCCACACTATCAATATCAATACAAATCAGTGGACGTAGGATTTGCTACCTTAGCATCCGAACCACTTTAAAACCTCTCATAGCATTTATTTCGCTTTTTATATTCATTTTCACGTGTTATTTTTGATCAATCAACGCCACGCACGTGACAATTAGTTGGTGCAAAAACCAAGCATCAACAAATATTAAGCCTAACTTGCTTGGTTTAGCCCTTGCAAGAGTAAATAAAATCAAAACCAACGACCAAAACAAAAACAAAAACAAAATAAAATAAAAACTCAAATGGGATTTTAACCAATTACAGTTTTATGTAAGTTAATTAAATTAGGGTATTAGTTTTTTATTATTTCATAATGTAATCTATTTACAAACCGGTTTTTCACTAGTTTAAACAATCGTTTTATTTATAATATGATATTTTGTTTAAATCTAAACCTCAATTTTCCGTTGTGGATGTAGATTAAGATATTAATATTTTATTATTATTTAAAATATCAGTTCGATAATATTATTGGCTAGCGTTTTTTGGAAACCCTATATAGCAAAGTGTGGGGTGAAGTGTTGTTCTAGAATTGTTTAAGCAGCTAATTAAAACTAATTAGCCTAACTTAATTAACCATAATTAGAAACTAACCATTTTAATTGAGTTAATGGCAGGGAAAAACCAGAATGGGAAAGTCTTGTAAGAGGAAGTCCACAAGATTGTACCTTACACGTTTTTGCGATACACGTGGCAGAGACCCATTAGGCCAGAGAAGCTAAAAAAAAGGCAGAAAAAACACAGAAACCATCCAATGATGGGTAAGTTTAGTTTGAGATGATGATGAAGAAGCTTAGCTGGCAGGAACGGTCAGGATTCACTGACAGCATAGTTTTTGTTTACATGGAATTTACTACAATTCTTCATTCCACTTCAATCATTGGCGTCTCTCTTATAAAAAGTGCTTATTTCTCTCTTAAAAGCTTCCACCTTTATTTGATTAAAGCTTTCTGTTTGTGTGTGGAGAAGTCGCAGGAGAAGGAGGAGAAGCAACAAAAAGTAAAATTTTGGTTTTTGTTCATACAAGATTTGAGTTTTTAAGAAAAGGGTTGTTGAAAATTTAAGTTTTTTGAGTGTGTTTTTGTGTGGAGATTGTGAGGAGGAAGAAGGGTTTTGTGTTTTACGTATAATGGTTTTCAGGTGTGACTTTATTTTTGGTGGAGAAGAAGATAAAGTTGAAGGAGAGTGGGAGAAAGAGAGATAGATCAAAAGCCATAAGTTCTAGCAGAAGTAGAGAGAAATTAAGCACTTGAAAGATTTGTTCAAGTTTATTTTGATCTGCTTTTGCTGGTAATTCATCTTGTTTTTTACTTCTTGGTTTTTGAGATTTTGATCATTTGATGAGAAAAGTTTCATTTTTTTTTAAGTTTCTTTCATGTTTCTGCATATTTGATTTTTGTTCATAAAGCAGAAGAATAAAGACTAAAGTTTGTTGATTTTTTGATTGATGATTGATATATAGTTTCTGGTGTTATTGATTTTGCAGGGTGATTGGCAATGTCTGCAACAGTAGTAAGTGATCCAATGGTGGTATCAGCCCCAGAAACAGCACAGGCAACCCCAAAACTCATCAATCAAATTGAAGTTGAGTTTGCAAAATGTGATTGCTGTGGCTTGACTGAAGAATGTACACCGGAATACATCAAAACGATACGCCAAAGGTATCAGGGGAAATGGATTTGTGGGCTGTGTGCAGAGGTTATAAAAGATGAAATTTTAAGAACAGAAAGACTTATTAGCACTGAAGAAGCTATGACTAAGCATATGGATTATTGCAAAACATTTAGATCCTCTAGACCGCCTCCGGATCCTGCAATTCATCTGATTTCTGCAATGAGACAGATTCTTAGAAGAATCTTGGATTCCCCTAGAGGATTAAGATCAACTCCCTCTAGTCCTACTAACGAAGTTGATGAAATTCACAGTCCAGCACTCGCTAGGTCTGGAAGTTGTTTCCCAACTTTGTCCGGTTGATGAAGGTTTAGATTATGGAAATGAAAAATAAATTGGAGGTGAACAGGGGAAGATCACAATTCAATTGATGCAAAAATAAAAGAAAAAACAATAGGGTTAAGCTTAGATATATATGTTTAATGTAGTTATCAATCTTAAATAGAAAACTTTCTTTTTTTGTTGTTAGCAACATCAATATTTTCTTGCCTCAATTTGCTATTAATCTTTCATTATTCTTTATGTAAATGCTTGGTTTTGAATGATGGATTCTCAGGACTGCGAATCAGGCATAAACAAAGGTAGTTTAAAAGTCTGTCCTCACCAGATAATGACTATGTTAACGAATATTTATGAGAAAGATGACTTGGTTAACATAGGTTTAAGATCTGAACTAAATTCTGATGCTCTGTGTGTGATTCTTGTGGGCTGCTGAGTTGCCACTGGTGGCGTTTTCTTTATGAGATTCTCCATATAAAAGAGGTAGCATGTCAGGGGCACAAAACAGATATAGACTTATTCTTGAGCCAAATGTGACAATCATTTGAGTTGGCCAGCCAGCTGGCCAGCTGGGTATATAATAATATTCCTGGCTTCAATGACATGAATTTGTTTAGTCTTCAATAAGTTTCCCAGATCCTTGCAGTAATCTTTCTAAAGTAATATACAACTCAGATTTTCGGATTGTATTACGGCTCTGAAGAAGTCATTTTCAGATCGCGAGGTCGGATGAAGAGTTCATGATGTTTTTTTTTTTTTTTTTCTTTCACCAGTAAATTCATTCAAAAGGATGTGGATGATCTTGTTTTTGTCAAGTGATGAACTTTCTTGTCTTTAATGGAATTGTTGACGGCCACAAAATGTTGGAGAAAATTCAAACCTCACAATGGCTAGCCAATTATCCCAAAGCTCATCCATATCCAAACTTGAGATAATGTGAATGCTAAAATTCAATGGAGTGTTAAAAGTTAATTAATTGTCTTCATTTGAAGCAATGATAATGACCCAGAAAAGCATACGAGTTTAAATGTGTCATTATGCCTTAAGATGTAGGGGTTTCATGAAGGTGGTTTCATCCAACAACAGTTAACTAACAAGAAGTGTACTTTCATGAAACCTCAGGAGGAAAATGTTAATTTCCTGAGAGATCTAGACAGTGTTTTATGTGTTCACTCTTCTGGAAACTACTGAAAAGTACATTTACCCACTGGAATTGGTAAAAAGAAAAGGTGAATACAGATTTATTAGTGTCTGCCTACAATTATGCAAAGATTAAGATTCAAAAGATGTTAAAAGCCTTTTTCATTAGATCTTAATAGTGTACTAAGATAGCAACACTAGAACCAGTACACACTGATGGACACAATCAGAGCACTGGTGCTGATGAGTCTGCCATAGAAATTAGAGAATTGAGAAGGTTCTGGTGCGTGGTTGGTGTGATTTGTTTTGTATGTTACAGCTGGACTCAGAATAGTGCTTCTGTCAAGCTAGGGACAGGCCATCTTATTCTGATTTGGAACCCCTTAACCCCACTTAGCCTCTCAATTTAGGTCACAAGAAAACAAACAAATTTCCAAAACATTGGTATGTTTTGTCTTTAAGAAACCAAAAACAAAGGGTGTGTGTATACTTAAGAGATGGCTTGTACTCTTATAACATTATAATAACGATGTTCCTATTTGGTTTTATCTTCAATAACATAATAAATTTTGTCTTAAGATGATCGGCTCTAAAGCAGTGTATTCGAGATGTTATTATCATGATATATTTTTACATCTATGAATAAAATTGTATTTCACACGGCATCTACGCACTATATCCAATCTTGTCTAAACTTGAAAAAAAAAAAATAATAATAATGAAGAAAGAGTGTCCATATACTTAAGTTGACACTTTTTGTAACTCTATAGTACCTGTATAACGTTATTCTCATATGATTTTATCCTCTGTAACACAATAAAACTTGTCATAGAACTTATCCGTGGATAGTCTAGATGGTTAAGGCAAATTGAAAATAGTGTAGATAGGTACATGGTCTCAAGTTCGATTCTCCATCTGAGTATTTGCTATTTAAGTGGGGGGTCGTGATAGTGTATTGCTGTGCTAATCTCCATTGAGAATTAGTTGAGGTGCACGTAAATAGGCCAAACACTTTGGTTTCCAAAAAAAATTTTCACAAGATGACCAACTATAGCACACTTTCTTTAAGTTATTTTGGTTGTGATGGTATTCTTACATTTTTAAGTAAGAGCCATGACGGTAGGCTTCTGAGTTAATCTCTCCAAGAGATTAATTGAGATGTACGTAAACTGACTAATCATCTTGGTTAAAAGAAAAAAAAAAAAAAAAAATCATAGCATGACCAACTCTAACACACTTTGTTTTTAAGTTATTTTTGTTGTGATAGGAATTTTTATATCCCATAACATCGAAGAATCACATCAAACCTACCCATTATATCCAATCTTGTAAAAAATCTATTGTAGTCGAAAAATAGAAGTGGATATTCTCACCAGCTAGGCTGACAGAAAATATAATCTTGGAGAAAATAAACTGTCTTTGTCCTTAACAGTAGTAAACTTCCTGAAATAAACATCAGATATCATCCTGAAAGATTCTAAACCAATCAATCCCTGCAGCAACCATGTACACTCTTCCTCCAATAATTTGACTTTGTTTTTTTCTTGCCTTCATTAGCAAGTAGTTTACCTAATCTTATGTATTTTATTTATCTTCCACATTTGTCTTTTGCCAGAGCTGATCTATTTGTTTATATGGAATTTTCTAGAGTTCACATGATTCACTCTTCTTTCTCTTCTGATTTATGACATTTTTCTCTCTTTCTAACCTAACCATTCCAATCATTAAAACAAAAGAGACGTGCCAATGTCATCTTACCTGATATTGATATTATATAAATTACTTCGAGATTACGAATATAATTTGCTCAATCTATGGGAAATAGAATTCCGGGGTGTCCTGTTATCTTTTGCACGTTTTGTAATTAGTGTGAATAGAGATTAAGGTCAAACAGATTATTGTGTGCTTATTTTTATGTTGTTTAAGTAACACTAGCAATAAGATTACATCACAGCCAAAAATTCCTGAAACATCCGCAAATTACTGGGGTTTTCTTTTTTTAAGTTGATATTATTGAATTAAACTAATAATAACATATAATAGTTTCTACATATCTAAGATAAAATAAAGATTGACTTACAACCCAATTTTATAAACTTTCTCTTACAACCACGACGTGACAGTTTGTAATTGGATAAACAGAATCTATAGCAAACAGACAAGACCTTTTTACAAATTGATCGATTACAAATTATCACGTTGAAGTTATAAAAGAGTTTGTGAGATGAGATTGAATTGTAAGTGTAACATTGCCATTCAAGATATTGATAAGACTTCGTCAAGTTTTGTTTTTTGGTGAATTAAGTCTTTCTAATGAGTCTTATGTTCGGATTTTAGATTCGCGTCTGAGAATTTTTGCATATATATATATAGCAACAAAGGAGAGCACGGTTATAAAGGAAATTCGAGCACGGTGCATTATAGTATAGTTTTATTACAGTAGTTTTTCTCTTCATGCACTAAATGGCAACATTCATGGAACAACTTTTGAGGAGGAGGAGAAAGAAGAAAGAATTTACTTCATCTTTCTTTGTTCTTATTCTGCTGCAGGTTGCTGCTATGGGAACCGAACCCGGTTTAAAGCGTAGAAGGTCTCTTGCCAAAGCCCTTTTATGAGCAATCCGAAGCATAGCTGTTCAGCAGATGATGCTGAATGGCTTTGGACCCTAGATTTAAAAACAATGATTCTAATCAGAAAAGAAATGGTTGATTGGAACTGTAAAAATTGACTTCAAAGGCGCTTATGTCACTAAAGAAAAATTAGCATACTTGAGGATAAGGCGTCTTGGCTAGCCGAAATTGATTCCTTGGGCCAGTGGTAATTCATTTCCATAATTGATTGTGCTGCAGAGTGATGTTAAGTAGAAAGATCAGTGAAAAATTTCTAAGATGAAGCTATATGTGTAAGTAGTTGATAGGAGACGGTAACAAGATTTACCAAGTTGATCGTCGCATGTATTGCTTCCAGGAGTCGCTTCCTGCTTCACGGCCACCACCAGTAGCCTTTTCACCACCAAAAGCACCACCAATCTCAGCCCCATTTGTGGGTATATTTACATTGACAATACCACAGTCACTTCCATGTGGCCTGCATTTTACAGGAAACCAGGAGAAGATTGTAAAGCTAAGTATTACTTCTTTTTATGACAAGAAATCTCATCTTTCGACCAGAAAACTATAGCAGAACCAAAAAATGTCAAGCTCAACATAAATATAATAATAATAATAATAATAATTAAAAACAACCAAGTGACATGCAAGAAAGTGAGATACTCGACTTTTGAAAGTCAAAATAATGTTTTCAAAAAGTACTTCATAAAGCCAAGAAAATTTATGATTTAGGTGAAAAACATGCAAAATCAGTAACATGAAGAAACTACAAAGGGATAAAAGGTATAAGCACTTACCCTAGCCACCTAAAAATAAGTTCAGGCTTCTGGGTGAAGATGGAACTGCTTAATCCTTGAGGTACCGAATTATTTATTTCAACAGCTTCTTCAAAAGTCTGTAAAAAGAGATCACATTTTAAGAACATGTATAACACAAAACATGACAAACAGAACCAATAGTTTCTTAATGATTGAGATGCTATCTGCTTTAGGACCCACCACCGGAACATGAGTAAAGAATTTACCTTAAATTTCATGACATATAGAACAGGAGCAAACAGCTCTTCTTTGACAATATCAGATTTTGGAGAAATCTCAACTATTGTGGGCTGAACAAAGTTTCCCTCAGACTCTATAACTGTACCGCCTGTAAGAATCTTCCCTCCCTGCAAGACATCGTTTTTCCTTATAAACTTAGGTGTTATTGCTTATGTCAATGAATTGCATGTTAGAATATTGTCAGAATGTAATATAGGAAACTTCAACATGTATAAGGTAAAGCAAAGCTTATATTACAAATAAATTGGTTGAGTAGAAGGGTGAATGACTGAACATGCCTGAGATTTGATTTTCTCTATTCCTTTCTCAAAGTTCTGCCTTGATGTAGAAGTATGCAATGGCCCGAGCAAGGTACCTTTTTCTAAAGGATCTCCTACCTTAACTTGTTTGT